CAGCGTAGCCCTGAGAGTCGTAGGAGTCGACGAAAATGGAACTCAGTTCCTGAGGGTATAACTGGGCCACCGTATTCTCTATTCCTGGAGGTTATAAATGCGGGAACCTGGCCCTCTAAGTTGAGGGAGTCTCGAATCTGAGACACTAAAATATGATCATGAGTCCCGCGGGACTCGAACCTGAAAATGACTGCGCTGGCGAGGACCAACAGGAATTGTAAATGTCAGAGCCATCCTCTCGTCAGAGAGGGCGCTCACATCAAGAAACCCGCAACTGTCTCACAGTAATCAGAATCTGGTCTTCTGCGTAAAAAAATGGGCTTGACAAAAAGACAGACGTCGTCCGTCAGTCGTAACATAACTCTGACTCTGACTTCAGTCGTTAAAAGATTAAGGGGCCATTGCTACACCCCAAACGCGACTTCCGTTCTATGCAAGTGTGGATATTCAATGCTTCCAGTGCACATACTAGTAAGCTAATTAAATGGTATATCCTTGGAGGCTAGAGGAATATAGCAACAGATATCTCGTGCTCGAGCTGGTTTGTTTGTGTGTTCGTTGACAGAGTTATGACGCTAAGAACAGAAAGCATATGCTTCTGGGCAAGAAGCGCCAGACGCTCTTCCACCTCCCGCTATTCTTCCACAGATCCGACCGCCATTCGTTGCCAAGGTGACGCACTCATACCAGGACGGATGGAGGCTGTCCGTAAACGAGCGGAAGTGACACGACGTCCCTACGTGCGAATTTTTCACGTCTGCCCGCGGTTCGTTTCTCGTCGCAGCAGTGAACACACTCCACACAGAAAGAGGTGTGTTTCGCAGGCAAAGTTTGTTTAACCGCGATTTTGTGGTGGAGGCCAAATGAGGTCATCGGATTTTTCACTTGACGTAATCCTTCCAGCCGCACTGTGGCCCTAGGGTCGACTCAGCCGTTAACAGAAATGAGAACCAGGAATCTTCCTGAGGGTAAAGAGCGGTCGGCGCGTAAGGCTGACAACCGCACCTCCATCTGCGAGCCGACTGTCTAGAAAATATGGAAACCTCGACGTCCCACAAACCTATGGGCCTCCATGGCCAGTTACAGGGACAAGTTTACCTTTTTGGCGGAAGGGAAAAACGCTCTGTCCTGTTATTTGTGGAAGATTGCAGAATGGAAAATTTTATACAGACATACTTTATATACTCTTACAACAGAATAGCTTGGAAATACTCCTGAGTTCCACCCCTTATGTCCGGGGCTTTCATATCCCTACAGGTACTCCTTTATATCCATGGATTGCGTTCCTCAAGACACTCTGACCGTGGCGTACCGAATTTAAAATAACGTTAGTATAATAGTTAACACAGCTTTTGGTCTTCTTCCCTTGTTTTGAAGAAACGAAAGCAGGCTTATGAGATCATCTTACTGTCTGTGTTTCTATGTGTCTCTGTATCCCCATTATAAACTTTTGAATGCCTAAACCAAGCTTTATGGAACTTGGTATGTGTATCCAATGGCGTCTGAGCCAATTTCAATGGCGTATCCATAAATCCATCATTCTATGGATCTGCAATTTTACCCCCAATTTTTGTTAGGCAACGGCTGGGTAAAAACTTACCACGGCAACGTATAGAGAAGAAATGTTGGCTACGTCCTTTTCTTTGCAGTCTGTGTCGTATCGAAGGGAAGTAGGCGATAAGTTCTTCCCAGAACATTTTGTACAAGGGATAGTTAGTAAACAGGTCAAAATGAATATAAAACGCAGAACATACCGTATTCGAACTTGGAAAGAAATTCTCGACATATCCAACATCAACATTGATACACTTGTCCCATCGCTTTACCAGGGCGTCGAAACTCGCAGCATAGAAGTCTTTTGACTGTTGTCTTAACCACTTCGACACCTCCGTTTAAACCTCTTCGTCATTAGCGAAATGTCTGCCACCAAGATGGAAATTTATCGACAGAGTTGTGAACCGCTTTACGCGACCAGAACTTCCCACCGTAAAGAGGATATATTTCTTAACGAATATCCTTTGCATTGAGTCTTTTGCGGAAAAAGAAACGCAGAACAGCACGTTAATCTTCGGTAGTATACACATCAAGCACGGTCGCCATTTTGACGTTGAATCCAGCACCTGAACATGCACATGTGTCTGCTACCTAGACTGTCATGAAGATTTACTGTGCTGCTACCTAGTGATACATATAGAAAACCTATTACGTCCATTATAACTATTCTAGTTCCATTCTTGTCCTATTTACTGACTCTAGAAATTGAATGAGAACGCTCTCTCTTCAGAATTTTTCAAGGGTCCTGGCTCAGATATTCTAACGAAGTACGCCTGTAACAATCTTCTTATAAAATTTCAATGGGGTTTAAACTAATTAGTCGGAAATAAGATGCAGATAAATCGCATGAGTCTTAAATGTTACCCTCTCTATGACAATTACGAAGTGACTGTACAGAGGAATTAGAATAATCGATATATCGTTAGTCGGAGCGAGACGGGCGTTACTGTGTCACAGACACGTGACCCTAGCAATCAAGTGGGCCTATTTGTCACGTCGTAATGTGACGTCACGTTTCCAGACACTGCGAAATTGACACTAAATATTTCAGCACCAACAGTGGCTGTTTGTTGTGACTGTTGACGCATTTAATTGCGCCTAATAACGTCATGGGGCATAGTCCTATCAAAAATCTAATAGTTGCTCACGTGTTCAAGAACGTTCTAGCCTCTTGCAGATCCCAAACTTCTTTACCGTCCTGACCGATGCTCGATACTGGACTCCATTATTAGCCAGTTCAATCCATAGAGTTTATAGTTCAGTTGTTATCCCGTGTGGAGCGGGGTCGAATACTTCCACCGTATCTCTGAGAGTCGTAGGAGACGAAAAGGGAACCCAGTGCCTGTCGGCATAACCCGTCCACCCTATTCTGGAGGGATATAAATACGAGGACCTGGCCCTGAGACAGCGAAACATGGTCATGAGCCCGCGGGACTGGGACCTGAGAATGACTGCGATGGCGAGGGTCAGCAGCAATTGTAAATGACAGACCCATCTTCTCGTCAGAGAGGATGTTACATAAGGATTATAACCGCAAGTGTTCAGTTAGAAAATAAAGTTTCTGGTCGTGATCCTCAAGGGGCTTGTCGCAAAGACGAACTGGTTGGAGGTAAACCGCCAGCCGTAGAGAAATTCTGAGTTTCTCTGAATTGAGAGTAGCAGTTGTGAAAAGTGAGAAGCTGGTAGATGAGACCGGGGACAGTTCGGGGACCCAGAGGAAGGGAACGTCCTCTGTTGAAAGCCGCTACCAAGCAACAGCTAGTGCTGTACATACAGCGATATTTGGAGTGTGTAACTCAGAGAGGCTGTCGTAGTTATTTGTAGTTACGAGTTGTTTGAGAGTTCAATATATCCGATTACCAGTCAAAACCTCTTCTCCAGTCATACCACACGGCAGTATGTTTCATAACAAAGTAGACAGGTAATATGTAACATGGTTACAAGTTATGTGTATGTCCGTTATGGTGGCGGCCCATATACGTGTATTACAACGTCTGGAGCCTGTAGCTGTGAGCCACCCAGATGGAACAAGTTACAGGACCGGGTTCAGTCCCCATTGGTCGCGATAAGTGTACTGAACCGGGGGAAGTTAGGCGGTGTCACTTCAATTCTGCGAAAAAGTTGTAAAGCGACATGCTATTTGCACAATATGCAAACGCCATTCGTGCTACATTTCCGGTACATCACATCCTTCTTGACTTGATCATTCTACGAGTAATTATACTTGGAAAAGCGCACAAGTTATGAAGCTCCTCATTAATATGCAGTTTTCTCCTACCGCCTATCAATTCATCTCTCTTCGGTCCAAATATTCTCCTCAGCACCCTGTTCTAAAACACCCTCAGTCTATGTTCCTCCCTTAATGTCACAAACAAAGTTTCGTAGCCATACAGAAAAATATTAAAATGTATCTTTATATTAATAGTGTGGCGTGTTGCCCATGTAACGCGACAATAATTCACGCGGGTTTTGGATTTTGCTACTATGTTTATTGGACGCTCACTTTTACACTTATAAGTATAATTATTCACAATTACAATTACTGTCAAACTGAAGACTAACTATTCTTCTAAGGTCAAATGCAAACTGAACTCGTCCGACGGTCAGTCGGCCAGTCTGTCTTGGCATAAGGCACCCATCTGGGACTTGCGACCAGATCTTTATTCGTGTTTGACAGTTACGTTTTTTTTTTTTGGCGGACTCGATAGGGAACACCATCTCGAAGGGTTCATTCCGCTCGCTGCTATCGAAACGTTGCTTCAATAGTTCGTGTGTAACAGAGGAAACTTCATATGAATTGCTAGCTTTCTGCTACCTAGCCGCTGTCGTGGGAACGTTGGTCGTTGCCTAGGAAATCAACTCTGACCTCAACCATTCCCAGCCGCTGTCGTGGGAACGTTGGTCGTTGCCTAGGAAATCAACTCTGCTCTCCTCAACCATTCCGGCTTTCTGGCGGCACGTCACAATAATTTACAAACGACCCAATGGATTCGGTTACTTTAGGCTGGAAACCAGTAGAAAGCTTTGTGATCGTGGTAATGAAAATTCGGATTTCATGAAAGACTCAGAATTACGTGACGCTCTCGGCGACTATCAGCGTCTTAGCAGGGTTGTACTTCATAAGCACCGTGAGCTAGTTGGTCCGTTTACATGGTTTGTCAGCCGAAGGAAAATATCTTATTTGATAATACAGTCCAGTATTCGAAATATAAGACTCCTCCGTTCCTGCTTCTGTAGATGGAGGTCCGGTGATGTTGTTGGCCAAACTAGATAAACACAACTTCCAATACTCGTACTTCTTCAAGGGAGAATGATATCCAAATGTACTTCCACAGTAACAACGATGTAAAAATGCCCAGCCATTTATTCAACGTTGAGGAAATTTCAATGTGTGTTTCTATGTCTCGGAAAAGTTTAACCGAAATGTGTTTTGTTTCTTGTTTCAGCAAAGTTATCAACAGCTGTCCTCAGTCCTTCAAGGCAATTTTCACCGCCTGCAAAGGGTAAGCCAGCCGCTGCAAGTAGCTGCAGTCAGTATTATTGCCTGTTCTCACGTGCTTCTAAATCAGTCCAATATGGGCCGTGTTTGTCATGATGCTCCTCAGTTTGTTGTTTGCATGAAACAAGGTATGCAAAAGAGATCTAATTTACTTACAATACAAGCGGACAATTTCAGCAATAAAGGATACTGTTTCGGTCGGTATTACAGTGTCAGTATTTTCCATCGAAAACTGCTTCTAGACCGCGTTTATTATGCTTACACTGACAAGCTCTCTGAAGCTGACAGCTTGAATATTCACCGCAATCACGATTTTCAAGTGTCCTGCAAGTTCTTTAGTATTGTGGCATATATAGCCGTTACTAGGCAACGACCGCGAAACAAATAGACAAAAACCCCTAAACAGTGACAGAGGAACGGTGCCGGGACGTCATAAAGAGGGCAGTTAGTGAAAATTTAGTTAAGTTATGTGGAGTGAATTGAGTTAGTTGGTTGATGAGTGACTGATTTAGTCAGAGAACTGCTGACGTGCAGGCGTGGTGAGATGTTTCTATGAGAAGCTGGTAGCTGAGGCCGGGGATAATTAGGAATCCAGAGGAAGGGGAACATCCGCCGCTGGAAGCAGCTACAAAGCAACGGCTAGTGAAAACGTGACCGTGGACACTAGTGTGTGTGTGTGTGTGTGAGTAATACTGAGATGTAAAGCGCTGTCACGCGTTGTATCAAAGGTCCAAGAAATCCGACCTTCAATCCAAAACCCCATACAGTCACACTCCATACACGTGACAGCATGCAAGGGTGGCTGAATGGATGTGGTGTTGTCTGCAGAAACTGTAGCTAGAGATCGAAAATGTCAAGTTTTTCGATGAATTTCAGCGTCGTTACCGAGGAACCACAAGATGCAGCCAACTTTTACGTTCGTGTGTATCATTGTGCAGTGCTGTGGCGACAGGTGTTGGAAACTTACGTTATCATTAGATCCCCGTCAAAATGAGATTGATGCCCTCCTTTCTAGAAGTGAAGTAAAGAGGAAAGTACAAAGTCTGACGCCACTTTCTGGAAACTGATGAGGAACCAAAAGTTTCCATAACTCATGGAAGTGGCCCGCTACTTGACACCCTTCCTAGTTCTATTGGCAGATGTGCTCTGCCTTCTGGAAGGCGAATGCGTTCAGGTCAGAACATCGCCCTTGCCTGACAGACGACCGCCTCGAGCCCAGTTTTAGGACACCAGTTCACAGTTACACACCCAAGTTTACATAATTAATTATCTCGATGCCCGTCTCATCTCAGTGATTAAATCTTATTTTTCGCGTGTTTTCTACCGCCTTATGTTGGGACAGAAAATTTGTGCTCGAAAATATATTTGCAGTCTTAAATTTTATAATTCATATTTTCACATGTATGAGTGACTGTAGAAGGGGTTACAACTCGTAATTACACTTAATTATAGCGTCATCGCTACTCTCCACACTTTACAAATCACCACATCATCCGCTAAGTCATTTGCAGCCTGCTCTGTCATCACCAGCCGTTCCCTGACAACGGCTGCTAACAGTGGAGATTCTTCAGCTTCACGCGCTCAATTCCTATCTGAACGGCGGCTCCCGTCCAACTGCCTCTTTTCCTCACAGTCTTCCGTGGAGAACTGAATCGGTTGCCCCAACTATCTTCCTTATAACCCCTTTGCACGGACCGAGTAGAAAACACCATTTCCAACAGTACCTCTGCTTATGCATGCGTATCGGTTGTCTCGAGAACGTGTTTACTGAGTCGTTGCATAGAAATGGCTTTGGTATATTTGCTTAACTAGCTGTCGTTGCACAGTAACGGCTGTACACGCTAAAATACGAGTATGTTCGTGTGAATTCTGGAAGAGCGAGTAGTATCTGAGCTTTAAGTTGCACTTGAATGTATAAATGTATGAAGGGTAGGCCTTCTCGGCCTTTGCACCGCGTCCTACAGTGGTCTATTGTGCTTCACGTTGCACTTACTCAATGAAACTATGATCTTATTTCGAACTACAGAAATCTGTAACAAATAAAATAAAGTAAAGTAAAGTTATCCCTGTAACAGGCCGTGAAGGCCCATAGGGTTGTGAGACGTTGAGGGTCCCACATTACCTTGACAGTCGGCTCAAATGTGGCGGTAAGGTTGTCAACCTTACGCGCCGGCCGCGCTTCACTCCCCAGGAAAATTATTTAATTAATTCCTGGTACTCATTTCTGTTAGAGGGCCTAGTGCGGCCGGAAGGATTAGGTCAATTGAAGAGAATCGGGACTTGAATCCGCGACCTTCCGGCTTGTAGCATAGTACCTTAACCACTACGCTACCGCGGAGTTCTAAACAATTAGTAAGTAGCACTTAGACTACAAAAGTCTGCTCAGCCCTGAGTTACACCACATCAAATACCGGGGTTCGTCCCAGTTGTGCGTGCGAGAAAGGCGCGGTGGGCAAGCGGTACAGCCATTTGGCAGGCCTGCGGAATGGCTATAAACAATGAGCCATCTCGAAGGAAGCAGCCATTGTGAGGCTGCGCTGCACGTCTGTACGTCCCACAATCCACTCTGAGGCGACATGTATTCAAGCGGACTGAACATCGCGCCATCTCGTTAGGTGTATAACTCTACGCGAGGCTCTTCAAGACAAGATATCACAATGCACGCGGAAATGTCATGTATCCATATTGTGTCGAGGAATGTGGAGGGGGGCGCTTGCATTTCTTGAAGGCCAGTGTATCGCACGTTAATATCATGAAACAATGAAGTGGGCAGGATGAGGAGCAAGCAACAGAGATTAGTAGACAGCACAATGTCGAGCAGAAATGTGATTGGGATCTGATTTCGGTCGTCAACGGATTCTCAAACCTTGATGTAAATCTGTTTCATTTAACCGCGACAGTCTTCCTTAGGTTTATTACGTTACATAATTCCAAGGTCCTACCCAAGAGGCTGATATAGTGGGTGGTCCCCTGGACTTGTTTCCGTTAGGTTTTCATTTCGAAACTAGGCAGGATTTGCCCCTCCAGGCAAACACCGAGATAATATCTGAATTAGACTATATGGAGTGTCTACTTGAGTTTCGTAGCGTACAGACGTGTTTGACAGTGCTCTGACAGTCAAAAGGGCCGCGAAGATAAGCGACCAAAAAAAACAAACAAACAAACAAACACCGAGTGATAAGTGATAAGAACCAATGTGTTGCCGGTAGGCAACGGATCAGTTCCTGAATTAAATCTGCCAACAAAAATGAGTCAGCCTGTAATAACAAGCAACAATTATTGTAATAAATGATATAAACTCCGTCTCAAGTGCAAACAATATATTTTGTGTCTTTGATCTTGCTCTCTACACTACATGTTTCGGCCTCAGACGGCCATCATCAGGTGTATAACACTCACGTCGCTGTCACACTGCACCCAGTTCAAAATTTAACATCTAAAACACTCTCCCTGTCATTATCAACTTCTACTTCGTTGATAGCTGTCCACCCGTAGATTACTTCACACACGTAAATTTTGAGTTTATTGTAATAGCACCATAATAAAATCTTTAGTTCTAATTTTAAACCTTTAAATTCTTGTCCAAATTTTAAAATTTTAAAATTGTTAGGGTTATTCGCCCTGTGTTTGAAGTGCTGCAGCGGCTAGTTCTTGTTTCCACACTGTATAGGTGTTATCCTGTGTAGTCTTTCTGTGTGCGTGCCGCTGTTATTCTTTACTACGTGTGCTCAAATTTATTTAATATTGTAATAATTAATTAATTAATAATATTGTAAACAATTATTGTGCTCCGCAAAATGTACAATCGATTCCTTCAACGAGCTATCAGCAGCATCTACAACAATATAAATAGAGGCCATATACATACAGGACGGCATCAACTAGTGAAGATGAATCAGACAAGGGTACAGTAAATGTAAATGAATGGCAACAAGTGAAAAACTACAAAAGAAAAAATCAGTACAAGGCAAACATATATCCAAAATACAGATATAACAATAAGCAATAAATTTAATCCACTGTCAATTGAAGAAAGCGCTAACCAGGCAAATCCAGAAATCAAAACTCCGAAACCCCCACCAATATTTATATATGAGTAATAAACTATAACGAAATGGTAAATAAATTGAAAGAAATTATTGAACAAGATTAATATTCTACTAAAAGTATGGCAGACAATACTATAAAAATTAATTGCACTACATCCGAAACATACCGGGAACTGGTAGCATTCTTAAAAGGGAACAATATAGTACACCATATATATCAACTTAAGGAGGAGAGAGTGTACAGGGTGGTCATAAAATATTTGCACTACTCAGTAAGTACAAAAGAAATCGAAAATCAGTTTACAAAGATTGGACATAAAGTCAGGAATGTCAGCAATGGCAGACAGAGTTACAAGGCAACCACTGAACATATTTTTGTTGACTTGGAACCAGCAAGTAACAATAAAGATATTTATAATATTAACATGATAGAAAACAAAACAGTTGTAATAGAACCACCACGAAGGAATAAAGGACTAACTCAATGCTTTAGATGTCAGCAGTATGGACATACCGAGACATACTGCATTAAACCCTTTGTTTGGGTAAAGTGTGGAGGCCCACATAGTGCCGCATGTTGTAAAAAAACCAAATACCACTCCTGCTAAATGCGCCCTATGCGATGGTTCGCATCCAGCACACTATAAAGGATCTGAGTTCTATAACAGCCTCATCAAAACGAATAACGCAAACAACAGACAAAATGTTCAACGAAACCCTACAGTAAACATGCACAATCCAAATTCCCTAGTGAGACCCGAAATACCTAAACCAACAACAAACAATGCATACAGAAATGCTAGTTACGCAGATGTACACGGGGAATTACACATAACAGCCAGCAAGAAGAAGACACCTCACCCATAACCTTAAACAGATTTCTTGAAGAGTTCAAGAACATGTTCAATCAGCTTATCCAGCAGAATACTATGATACTAAACATGTTATCGACTCT